CCTTGAATTTACTGAGACTTGTTTGTGGCCGCCAATGTGATCTGTTTTGGAGAAGGTTCTATCGGTACTGGAAAAGAATGTGTATCTTCCTGTTTCAGGCCAAATGTTGGAATATATCTATTAGAGACGTCTAGTCCAATATGTCATCGAAAGCCACAGTATCCTCATGGATTTTCTGTCTAGGTGATCTATCCATGGATGTAACTGGGGTGTGAGTCCCCTGCCCTCATTTATTTCACTGGAAAAGTTCCTCGTTTTTTTGTTGTTTTGTTTTTTTAATAATATAATTTTATTGATTTTACATAACAGTATTCCTTGTTTTTGCACCACACCCAGGGCTCCATGCAATCGGTGCCCTCTCCGATACCCACCACCTGGTTCCCCCAACCTCCCACCCCCCGCTGCTTCAAACCCCTCCGATTGTTTTTCAGAGTCCATAGTCTCTCATGGTTCACCTCTCCTTCCAATTTCCCCCAATTCCCTTCTCCTCTCTAACTCCCCTTGTCCTCCATGCTATTTGTTAGGCTCCACAAATAAGTGAAACCATATGATAATTGACTCTCTCTGCTTGACTTTTTTCACTCAGCATCATCTCTTCCAGATCCATCCATGTTGCTACAAAAGGTGGGTATTCATCCTTTCTGAGGGAGGCATAATACTCCATAGTGTATATGGACCACATCTTCCTTATCCATTCGTCCGTTGAAGGGCATCTTGGTTCTTTCCACAGTTTGGCGACCGTGGCCCTTGGTGCTATAAACATTGGGGTACAGATGGCCCTTCTTTTCACTACATCTGTATCGTTGGGGTAAATACCCAGTAGTGCAATGGCAGGGTCAGAGGGAAGGTCTATTTTTAGTTTCTTGAGGAATCTCCACACTGTTCTCCAAAGTGGCTGCACCAACTTGCATTCCCACCAACAGACTAAGAGGGTTCCCCTTTGTCTATATGCCCTCCAACACATGTTGTTTCCTGTCTTGCTAATTTTGGCCATTCTAACTGGCCAGATACCAGTTCGTATCTGGTGGTATCTCAATGTGGTTTTAACTTGAATGTCCCTGATGGCTAGGGATGATGAACATTTTTTCATGTGTCTAAGAGCCATTTGTATGTCTTCATCGGAGAAGTGCCTGTTCATACCTTCTGCCCATTTTTTGATATGATTGTCTGTTTTGTGTGTGTTGAGTTTGAGGAGTTCTTTATAGATCCTGGATATCAACCTTTTGTCTGTACGGTCATTTGCAAATATCTTCTCCCATTCCGTGGGTTGCCTCTTTGTTTTCTTGACTGTTTCCTTTGCTGCGCAGAAGCTTTTGATTTTGATGAAGTCCCAAAAGTTTATTCCACCGGTATTTTTCAAAGAGCTGGAGCAAATAATCCAGAAATTTGTATGGCACCAGAGGAGACCCCGAATCGCTAAGGAAATGTTGAAAAACAAAAATAAAACTGGGGGCATCACATTACCTGATTTCAAGCTTTACTACAAAGCTGTGATCACCAAGACAGCATGGTACTGGCATTAAAACAGACACTTAGACCAGTGGAACAGAGTAGAGAGCCCAGATATGGACCCTCAACTCTACGGTCAAATAATCTTCGACAAAACAGGAAAAAATATACAGTGGAAAAAAGACAGTCTCTTCAATAAATGGTGCTGGGAAAACTGGACAGCTATATGTAGAAGAATGAAACTCGCCCATTCTCTTACACCGTACACCAAAATAAACTCAAAATGGATAAAAGACCTCAACGTGAGACAAGAATCCATCAGAATCCTAGAGGGGAACATAGGCAGTAATCTCTTCGATATCAGCCACAGCAACCTCTTTCAAGATATGTCTCCAAAGGCAAAGGAAACAAAAGTTCCTTGTTTTTAATAGCTGCTTTATGTATTGGGGGGCTCCCATGTTGCGTGTAGAAATATTGGCAACTTTTATATGTTCTTGTTGATTGTGTGCTTTAGGCTTAGGTAGTGTCCTTCTTTGTCTCTTGTTTCAGACTTTGTTTGAAAGTCGATTTTGTGTCTGCTGTAAGTACTTTTACCCTGGCTTTCTTTTCACTTCTGTTTTCATGGCCAAAGTTTTTTCCAAACCTTCCCTTTAAATTTCCATCTGCCTGTAGGTCTGAAATAGGTCTTTTGTGTGCGGTATATAGATGGGTCTACTTTTATCCATTCTGTCACCCTATGTCTCTTGATTTTAGTGTTTGGGCCATTTACATATAAAGTAATAGTTGATCGATCTCTCTCTCTCTCTCTCTCTGTGTATATATATATATATATATATATATATATATATATATATATGGGTTTGTGTGTATTTATTTCCGCTTTCTTATTTGTTTTTAGGTTTCGGCCCAGTTCTTCATTATTTCTTCTGTTGCTCTTTCTCTCATGGTTTGCTTGATTTCTTTCGGCTATACTGAGCTTCCTTCCTGTGTGTTTTTTGCAGATCTGTTACCAGTTTTTGATTTGTAGTTACCGTTCAGTTTATATAGCGCATCCTATGCCTCTAGCAGTCGATGGTGAAGTTGATGGTTGCTTAAGTGTGAATCGATTCTTCACACTTGTCTCATCCACGTTTTAGGGATAGTGTGTGATACTTTACATCTTTTAATGGCATACATCCCTCGAGCGATTTTTAGAGATACATCTCATTTTACCGCTTTTGTGCTTCCTCCTTTTCTTGCTCCTACATATGCTCTTTCCTTTCCACTCAAAGAGTCTCCTTTCATGCTTATGGTACAGACGGTTTAGTGATCCTGAATTCCTTTCACTTTCATTTGGGAAATGCTATCTCTCCTTCTATTCTGAGTGACAGCCTTGGTGAAGAGAGTGTTCTTGGCTGGGTTTTGTTTGTGTCTGTAGTTTTGGTTTAGTTTGTTTTTCCTTGTGTACATTGCCTATATCATCCCACTCAATTCTGGACCGCAAAGTTTCTGCTGAAAAGTCTGCCAAAACCCTTGTATGTAACTGTCTTCTTTTCTCTTGCTGCTTTTAAAATTATTTCTTGTCACCCCCTTTGTGCCATTTGGATTTCTAGGCATTTTGTGGTGGACTAGCTTGGGAAGATTTTGTTGGGGGCTCTTTGGGCCTCCTGGCTCTGGACTTTGGTTTCCTTCCCCAGATTCAGGAACATTTCACCTATGACTCGTGCAAGTAACGTTTCCATCTCCTTCCCTCTCTCTCTTGCTTCTGGCATCCCTGTAATGCCAAAGTTACTACACTTGATGGTGTCACTGAATTCTCCAATCGTATTTCATTCTTATCCTAAATTTTTCTCACTACTCTTCAGCTTGATTGTTTTCCGTCATTCTGTCTTTCGGATCACTGATCCTTCTGCTTGCTCTCGTCTCCTATGTGTTCCATGTAATGTGTTTTTGGCCCATTTCACTGTCCTTTCGGTTTACCCAGAGAGAACTAAGAAAGACGGGGTGGGGGGAAGGAAAATTAGACAGTCACGGAGACGAGCATGCAAACCTCCCCCCGCCCCCCTCCCCCACACCCTGCCATATACCTGACTATAAGGGAATGCCGGTTGCTGGTTGGCTTCCAGGCGGAATGTTGAGGATGTGTTGTGACTACCGGATCCACGGTAACCATCACTTGTCCTATGGTCGAGCAGTACCATGGAGGAGCTGCCAGGCTCTCTGGAGCTTGGCTTTGAGCTGATCCTTGGGAAGTTGGACGAGATGATGGCGAAGCTGCTGCCAAGTGACTGGAGTCCTGGACTGATGTTCCACAACCTCCAGTGGGAGACACTGCTGTGTCCACCTGTCATTGGCTTCCTGGTGGGCCTCCTCTTTCTATTCCGACTTGTTCAGATCGTTAGAAGGCACTCCTATGAAAAACGTGAGAAGCAGCTGGCAGAGGCACTGGCTGCAGGGATCGAGGAGAAATGCCACCTCATTGACAAGGTTTTTGTAGCTGAGAAGGAGCATGCAGCACTCGAATCATCGGCAGAAGAGGCCAAACTAGAGAAAGAGTCATTCGATATACCCAGCCTTGCAGACTCTTACAGAAAGGGGAAGATGACCAACGTGATGCTGATGAAGGAACTCAATTCTCTGTGTCGAGACCTGGAGGAAGAGAGTGCCAAAAGATCCCAGCAAGAAGAGCAGATGATGGAGGTGCTAAAAGACCTGAAGGCCCTAGAAGACATGATGACTTTTGCTAAACCACAAGGAGCTTTTCCAAACCAGCTTGGAGACCCAAGAGCCAAGCCCTGCTGCTCCTTTGCCTGGGAGTGGGCCTGGGGCTTAAAGCGGTGCTGTTGCCTCCCCTCTGCTCCGGCCTCCCCCGTGCCAGGCTTTGTTCCTCACTTTCCATGTCTATCTGCGAGTCACGGTGGCCAGTGGATGCAAGGTTTGTCCTCCCCGGACTGAGTTCTTCCATCTTCACTTACTAGACGCAGCCCACGGCCCCTTCACGCTTGACTCCGCCACGTCGAAATACGATTGCATGTCCTGGAACCCCCTCAGCACTCTGGGACTTTCTTTGTCTTCACGGAAGTTTGGACTTGCTTTCAGTAGTACCGAAAGACATACTTTCCTTAGAAGCGAATTATCTTTTACTCTGATGCCTTAGATTTCTCAAGTTCTTATATTGCCAAGGCTATTTACAGTAGTCTTTGATAGGGGAACTATTTTAATTTATTCTCTCTATAATATTGTATTATAGTTTACAAATATATGTAATGTAGCAATAAAGACTTTTAGTTATTAACAGCAGTATTTTTTTGGTTTTGTTTTTCCAACCTTGACCAGTCATACTTAAAAACACCTGCCTCAAGTATGCATTGTTGTAATTTAAATCCAAGTAGCCAACTTAGAGCACATCACTGGTGTCAGTGGGAGTGCTCTTTCCCTGATCCCTCATCACATCCCATGCCCTCCTTAATGGCTATCACCCAATGACTCATTCCCCTGCCCCCGCCTCTCCAGCAACAAAAGAAAGCTACCCTATGACCCTAGGTATTTGCCCTGAAGATACAAATGTAGCGATGCAAATTGATACCTGCCCTCCAAGGTTCATAGCAGCCATGTCCCCAGTAGCCAAACTGTGCAAAGAGACAAGGTAACCGCTGATGGATGCACGGGTAAAGAGGATGTAGTGTCCGCGCACACAGGCATACACACACACACACACACGCACACACACACACACACAGTGGAATACTGCTTAGCCCTCAGAAAGGACGAATACTTACCATTTCCGTCAACATGGATGGAAGTGGAGGGTATTTTGTTAAGTGAAATAAGCCAATCAGAGAAAGACAAGCATCATATGATTTCAGTCCTATGTAGAACAGGGCAGGGAGCATAGGGAATGGGAGGGAAAACAGAATGGGAAGTGGTTCGAGAAGGAGAGAAACCGTAAGAGACTTAAACCTCTAATGTATTTTTAATTCCAGGTATTAAGTTCTTCAGCTTTGGTTCTTGTTTTCTACCTCTTGGGTGAGGGTCTTATGTCCTCCACTCCTTTCTCAAGGATAGTGCGTTTTTGGCCATTGCTTTAATTACTCTAGCAGGCATATTGCTTATCTCTGCTTGGTTTAGCTCTCTTGATGCGATGTTGTCCTGTTCTTTCTTTTGGGATACATTCCTCTGTCTGTTCATTTTCTCTAACTCTCTCTGTTTCCATGCTTTAAGCCAGTCAACTAGATCTCCTGTTCTTGAACGTGTTGAGCGTATAGAAAGGAGGTCCTGTGATGCTCTGCAATGGCGTGTTGCCTGCTCAGGAAGGCTGTCTGCATGTCACTTGAAGGCTGTCTCGAACCTGTGTTTTGAGAGTAATACTCTTGTGGCTGAGCTGCCTTTGCCCTCAGGCAAGTCCTATGCAGTGGTTCTGTTGGTTGTGGGCAGGGTTCAGTCCCGCCGCTGTTAGTGGGCCAGTCTGGGTCTCCCTTGGGCTCGAGGTGAGCCAGTGCAGGCGTAGGCCAAAGATACAGTAGCACCACACTGTAGGGCAGTTCTCTCTCTCATGTTGTTCCCTGAAAAGCTTTCATTGGTGGGAGGGGCCGGCTATCAGAGCAGATATCTGCTTCTAGCCCCAGGCAACAGTTAGGGTTATTTCATATGTGTAGTTATCTTCTGGATTCCGTAGGTCAGGAGTCACTTTAGATTGCTGGACTGGACCCTGTGACGGTTGCTTGAACACTGTCAGGCACTGTTTCGGAGGGGCTCTGGCCAAGGAGTATTGGTCGGGGCCATTCCGCAGGAGGAAGCAAGGACTGCTAGTGCTAACCAGTTGTGCACGTCTGTTTGGGGAGGGGACCTGTAGATGCTTTGGCGTGGCTGGAGAGGATGAATTTGCAGGCGAGTAGGAGTGCAGGGTAAGCGGTAGCAGCAAGGTCCATTTTGGAGGTAACCTGCAGCCACCCAAAACTCGTCCTCGGCCCACACTGGGTTTGAAGGCGGGCAAGTTCGCAGACGTTAGCCAGCTGGGTTAAGAGTACTGAGCTGGTTTCCACAGGCCTCTGGGTATCTCAGCTGGTGGGCAGGAAGGGGAAGTGGCAGTAGTCAGCTCCTTTGTTCCTGTTGAAGACATATGGGGGTTGACCAAATATGGGAAAGTCATTTTGGGCAAGGAAAAGGGGAAAGGAAAACTAGAGATGAGTAAGGGTTGTGTTCAAGAACCACTTGGGCTGACAAGAGAATGAATGTTATTCATTTTCAGTAGAGTCATTCAGTGCAAATGGGCAATTTTCTATGAAATGCTGTTTGCACTAGATGTAGCTAAGAAGGGGACTGTTGTTTGTGCATTATGTACTATATGCTAGCCTTTTGTAGGGTGCTTTATAATATTTCAGTACTACTGCACAAGTGATTACTTTTACATCTGAGGTAACTTAGACTCAAACAGAATAAGCCGTATGATGTTCACATGTAATAAACACCCAAGTCATCATTAGAACATAGTATTACTTAGGAAAGGAAACAAACAAACAAAAAAAAATGTACTGGTTGATTTTTAGGTGATGGTTTTATTTCGTAAGGTAAATATTCCAAAGAGGCATTCTGATGAAAGTGATAATTTATACCCACTAGGCCCAAATGCAAGTGTGCCAGCAGGTACTGGACCTGGAGATAGGGCACAGGCAAGGGGTGAAAGCAAGTCCCTTCTTCACAGAACAAAAGATTTCAGTAGTTTTTATCACTAAGGCTTCAAATTTTATAATGCTTATGAACAATACATACTTTGTGAAATGAAATGTTTAGAAATCTTAACGGTCACTTATTTTTGTATTATAGTATGAAAAAAAAGAGTTGTTATAAAACTGTGTTTATGTGTAATTCCTCTTTTTTCACTCTTTGCTAATATATTTTTTCACTGAGTTACAGCATTAATGTGAAAATCCAAGGTACTTTATTTGTGGATTTTTTCCAAGGTTTATATTATACTTACAGATGAAAATGCTTTCAAAATTATTTATATCAAACATTATCTTTGTGTGCTTTCTCATGCATTGCTATGTTGTAAATGCCATTATGGATATCTTGCAGTAAGTAAAAAACATTTTGAATGGCATCTTAAAAGTAATACCAAATATAAGTGATACAATTGGGTAAAATATAATATTTTGGGAGTTTAGTATTTTGTAGTGGGAATTTGGTAATATTCTAATCATTCACTCTTGTTGAAAGCAATTTTGATTGAGATAACAAATCATGTATCATTGGGTTTGCAATATTAATGACTCACCCTTGAATTTTTATATCAGTAACCACACATACCATTTATGTGGTACAGTGCTGTTTCAGTGTTCACAGCTAAATTTTTAATATTTTTATGTCGATATAGTGGCATATTTCATAGAGATGCTTCAACAACTATCTAGACATACTGTATGGTTGATAAATAGGAATTATCTTAAATTCATTTGCAGTGAAATTGAATAGCTGACCAAGGGCTTAGGTTAAGAGAGGCAAGTAAATGTATTGTACAACATCATTTTTTATTTCTTTAGGGTTTGATTTTTCTCTGTGATTTGTAATGAAATAGATTAATGGGCCCAATTTTATTACTGATTAAATGGATTTGACTGGGACCTTTATCAGGAAAGTCACAATACCAGTTAGCTTCATATCAAAAGCTTTGAAATAAAAACGAAGGACTGTTTCAGGGAGAAAAAGAGCTAGGCAGTAATATAGAGAGAGACTTATTTAAGTTCAAATGGATCATTTGATTAAAAGCAAGGATAACACTGCTACATGTTGTCGCTAAGTTTGTATAAACTAGGTATTGTTAAGTAACAAAAATACATCATATGTAGACCAACTTTTATCTCCATTTTTCAAAAATATTTTGAATAGTTACTGTGCACCAAGCATTATTTATTATTCTTACAATTCAATTGTGTCCCACATCACCACTCCCCCACACACAAAATATATATTGACATCCAAACGCATCTTACCTGTACAATGCGGCCTTACTTGGAAATAGGGTATTTGCAGATATGGCCAAGTTAAGATGAGGTCAGCAGGGTAGGGTCTGATTCCAAATGACTGTTGTCCTTAAAGGAAGAGAGGAATTTGGACATGCACACACACACACACACACACACACACACACACACACACACACAGAAAGGAGCCAACGGCCCAAGTGAAGACAAAACAGACCAGGAGAAGGCCATGTGACAATAGAGGCAGAGATTGGAGTCAAGCCGTTGCCAGCCCAGCAAGTCTAAGGATAGATGGCCTTCACCAGAAGCTAGGAGAGGAAGGAGTTCTCCATTCCATATATCAGAGAAAGAATGGCCCAGCTGACTCCTTGTCTTTGGCATTCTTTCCAGACTGTGAGAGAATAAACTTCTGTTCTTCTGAGCCATCCATTTGGTGGTACTTAGGCATAGCGGCCCTAGAAAACGCATACAGAATTCTGTATTCTAACACTGAAATATAGGTATATATTTTAACGGGCTCTGGAAAAAGCTCAACGATTTGATCACTTTGGGAAGTAAGATGATGCCGCAGCTCGGTCAGCTCTATGTATATAGTTCGTATATTTAAAATAGGATTATAAGTATGACTAACGTAGGACACTTCCTTTACTAGTGAAACAAGACTCTGTCGCAATAAAGACATGGAAGGAACTTACAATATTACTGAGAGAGGAAGACATATACCATCCCCACCCCGCAAAACAAGTCCAATCAATAAAAAAGGATTGCCCCAGTTGTTGACACTGGTACAGGTATGATGCCCTACTAATTTCTAAGGAGGGAGAGGCTATATTTGATTAGAAACACTTCAGGGCAGAGGCATGAGCTTAGGATCCTCTGGATTTGATAGTTTACCATACAGACTTAATGAGAAGGGCTTGCCTAGGTAACCATGTGGGTAGAGCCCCAGAGGCAAAAAGCACGTGAGAGTGGGCCATTAAAGACCCACGCTCTTGTCTATGCTAAACTTCTTCAGCGGTGGCAAGTGCACTGGGCGACGTTCTGACCTTGGAACCATATTTTTCCAGGCTTTTCGAAGGGACGCAGCCTCTGAAGCCACAGGGAAGCGTTTCTACAAACGGTATCCTCAGGACAGACAAGGTAAGAGGAAAACAAAAGAAACAACAAAACAAGGAGTCAAATAAATCACCCCACCCTGAATATCTGCACACTTACAAACATTCACTCTCAAGAAACTCATGCTTGAGACAGAAAAGTATGTTAATTTTGCTTTCACTGCTGGAAGTTCCAATAGGAATAGCCAGAGCCTCTTAGAAGTTGAGACTCAAGCTGGTATTTTAGAGTGGGAAACTGAGGTTGAGACTGATTAGCCTATGGGAAGAAAGATCACAAGGGAATGTGATTAGACCTTAGAAACAGTGGTTCTTTGGGTAGTGCCCATCCCCTGTTTCTTTGGATGAAGCACAAAGACTGGAGAAGGTGAAGTAAAGCCCTAGATCTGCGGAGAAAAGAGTAGTGCTTGGCTTTGCACAGGTGATATAAAAAGTGTCAAGTCTGATGGGAAAACTCATTATCCAAAATGGCATCCAGGAGAGTCTTAGTTAAAGAGTACGAGGTCAAGCATACAAAGTCATGAACTGCCAGAGTAGTGTGGGAAGATAATCAGTGTTCCTGAGTACCCACTCCCCACCAAAGTTTCTGAATTGTTGGGCACATTAGGGTACTATAAAAGAAATTATAGTTGGGACAAAGAAGATGCAGACTGTTTACTTCTGATAATTAAAACTAGGTATGGGGACATGAACTTGGTCAGTAAAGGGAATGGAAATAGTGAGGGCCAGATGGAGATGATCTACACTTTGATGTAAATCAGAATAGTCAGAAAGTGGCATGAGGACCAGAGGTCTTCCTTCTAATGTGGGGATGATATATAACTCCATCCTGGATTTAGATAACTCAGAGAAATTAAGAAGAACCATGTCTGTGTATATTTGTGTGTGTCTGGTGATGGTATGTGTGGGAGGTGGAATTCTAAGAGACTTATTTTAAAAAAAAGAAGTTATTTACTGTATATTGGTAGAGTTGAGCATTTTTGACATCTACAAAATTGGGATCTCAAGAACACTAATTGCAGTTACAAAGTTATATTTCACATCTATTTATATGTTTATATTTGATTTTGTGTACTGTTTTCACTATATACTTCATAACTACTGAAAGAAATTGAAACATGGAGTTCAATAAATTATAATTTGCCCTATGTCTGCATAAAGAGTCATATTTATGAAATACCATGTTGCTGCCAGGTTTAGGCTAAATAATTTCATATTAATCTTTTATACTCTTTAAAAATTTTTTACTGAAGCATAGTTGAAACATAATGTTATGTTAATTTCAGGTGTAGTACATAGTGATTCAGCAAGCCTGTATGTTAGGCTGTGCTTACAATTATAGCTACCATCTGTCATCTTTCAATGCCATTACAATAGCATTGATTATATTCCCTATGCTGTACTTCTTATCCCCATGACTTATTCATTCCATAACTGTGAACCTGTGTCTCCCATTCTCTTTCACCCATTTAGTCCACCCTCCATGCTCCTTCCTTCTGGCAACAGTTTTGATGGGTCTGTTTCTGCTTTTTGTTCATTTTGTGTTTTAGATTTTGCATTTAAGTGAAATCATTGTTGGTCTTTGATTTATTTCACTTAGCATAATACCTTCTGCATCCATTTATTTTTCATAAATGGCAAGATCTTATCTTTTTTATGGCTGAATTATATTCCATTGTGTGTGTGTCTGTGTGTATACACCACCTTTTCTTAGTCATTCATCTATCAATGGATATATGGGTTGTTTTCAGATCTTGGTTATTGTAAAGAATGCTCAATAAACATAGAGGCACATACATCTTTTTGCATTACTCTTTTAGTTTTCTTTGGATAAATACCCAATAGTGGAATTACTAAATTGTATTTGGGGAACTTCCACACTGTTTTCCATGGTGGCTTTGCCAATTTCCATTCTCATCAACAGTGCAAAAGGGTTCTTAATGCCACATTCTCACCCACACTTGTTATTTCTTATCTTTTTGACTCTAACTATTCTGATAGGTGTGAGGGGATATCTCATCGTGGTTTAGATTTACATTTCTCTAATGATAAGTGACATTGAACATCTTTTCATGCATCTGTTGGACATTTGTATGCCTTCTTTGGAAAAATGTCCATTCAGATCCTCTGCCATTTTTAATTGGATATTTTTCTTGGTATTGAGTTGAATAAGTTAATTCTATATTTTGGATATTAACATTTTATTGAATATATCATTTGTAAATATGTTCTCCCATTCAGTAGATTGTCTTTTTGTGTTGATGGTTTCCTTTGCTATGCAAAAGCTTTTTAGAGTAGTCCCAATACTTTATTTTTGCTTTTATTTTCCTTGCCTCAGGAGATACATCCACAAAAATGTTACTGCCTCTCTTTTCTTTTATAACTTTTATGGTTTCAGGACTCACATTTAGGTTTTTAATCCATTTTCAGTTAATTTTTGTGTTTGGTATGAGAAAGTGGTACAGTTCTTTTCTTTTGCATGTAGCTGTCCACTTTTCCCACTACCATTTTTTGAAAGGACTATCTTTTTCCCATTGTATATTTTTGTCTCCTCTGTTACAATCATGTTTCAGTAATCTATTTTTTGCCAGTACCATACTGTTTTTATTACTATAGCTTTGTAGTTTATCTTGAACTCTGGGATTGATACCTCTAGCTTTGTTGTTCTTTTTCAAGATTACTTTGGCCAGCCATTAGGTTGTTTTTTTTTTTTTAAAGATTTTATTTATTTATTTGACAGAGATCACAAGTAGACAGAGAGGCAGGCAGAGAGAGAGAGAGGGAAGCAGGCTCCCTGCTGAGCAGAGAGCCCGACGCTGGACTCGATCCCAGGACCCTGAGATCACGACCCAAGCCAAAGGCAGCAGCTTAACCCACTGAGCCACCCAGGCACCCCCAGCCATTAGGTTTGGATGATACTATAAAAATAAGTGATTTTGAGTTATAGATAATGAAATGCTTAATATAAAGAGTCATGTAATTAGCTCATACTAATTCTATTAGTACTAATTACAAAAGATGGCTGAAATATAACATTCCCTATACTGTTTCCTATCAACTCTTTATCTTTTGACCACAAGCCCAGTTTTGTATCTATAGCATATTAAGCATATTTTCCAAATTCAGTCAATGCTCGAGTAAAGTTTAAAATATTATATAATACTGTAGGATTTTCTTGGGAAAAAAATAAAATTTAAGAGATTGATATTTTGAAAAATGGAATCAGGGTAGGTTTTCTCATATTATACATATTACTTATGATAAAGTATGGATAGTTTTATATTGTATAGCAGAATTATTTATATTGTTGAGATTCATGATTTTACTTTAAACTGTTTGTTTCTGCTTGGTACAAAACTCTTATTTTACATTAAGGAAATTGTGATATGACTTATGTGATTATTTTTTTCTATTCAGGAATAAGAAACATTTGGTGGTAACAATATAAAATAATTGGAAATGTACCCATAAGAGGATATAGGTCTAGCTTGCTCTTCTCCTTACAGCTAAAACATTGATTTGAATGCTCTTTTTGAAACTTTTTTAATCTATTTTTTCAGTCTTAATATTTTCTTTGCTCAAGTTCTGCATAAATGAATATATGGAATACGTTTGTCTTATTTACATAGTCTTAGATCAGATCTATTAGACTAATTCTCAAGTTTTCAAAGTTATTTTTTAGAACATGTCAGTATTAAGGCTTAAATCAGTATGTTCAAATACTAGGAGAAGAGTAATTTAATAGACATACTTTATATCTAGAAATGTACTCATAATCAAGACTTTCTACTCCTTGTTTTTAAAAAATTGTCTAATCTTTATTCATCAGGCTGGAGTGAGGGGCCACAGCAGGCATAGTTCAATGGAGCAGAGTGAGTCAAATTTGAAAAAAATAAGGTCAGTACTAGTGCAGTAATGTTTAATGTCAGATCTTAAAGGTGAATGAATATAGGACAATCAATAATACATAAAACAAGTGATAGGGAATTAAGTTGATCAGAAATTTTAAGAGCTCAAAGGAAAAGGGAAAATATCAGGCCATTCTATTTTGAAGTAAGGGTCCATGTCAACCAGGTGATAGGTAGATTTTGTATAGAAGAAATATTTGGGAAAGGAGTCTTTAAAAGCCTATATATATATATATATATATATATACATATATATCCCTAGATTCTATACCAATAATGATGACTATTTAAAAATGTTCATGTTACTATTCTGGCCTTGTGAATTGTGTTTCTGTTTTCTCAAGTTAAAAACTTTAATTCTGCATTTTCCTTTGCAAAATTATCTAGAATTACAAAAGTTGATAATATAGGAATTGGGAGTATTTAGTCCATTTCTCATAGGTAAGTTACAGTGTGTTGCCCTGATAATTCTGTGCCTAGCTATTTGAAACTGAGTCAAAAAGTTAGCTCATGGTCACTCATCAGTTTTTTGTTTTGGAATAGCAAAATCTTCTAAGCTCTTCAATCATAAGATTGCCAAGAATTAGATTATTGGAGACAATTAGAAAATATGCTCTGAGTTGCTGAGCCTAATTGAGATTACATAAAACAAGGACAGCAATGTATTTTTTTATTCTATTTATTCAGTAAGCCCACTGATATTTTTAGTGACCACAGTATGTCACTAATTATATATTTTGGGATATTCATAGTATGTTTAATTAGTACCCAAGTATTTCATGCAAACACAGCTAGAAAATTTAATAGAACCTCTTTCAAAAATGAAAACAGGACTTTTTATTGAAAACATAATTCTAATTTATATGACTAGTCAGTGTTTTATGATTTTCCCTATTTAAAGTAAATTTTTGATTAAGATATATTCAAATCCCCATAAAATATGATTTATATTTCTTCATGGACTGCTCTTTGCTGGTATTTACAACAAAGTTCATTTCTTCAGCAAATGGTAAATAATAGGATGTAAGCACATAGCAGCCCAGGAAGATGCTTTACATTAATTTTTTAATACGAGGAAGATGTTTTCCTCAGTGGCCAAACTACTTCTGGTATCATAGTG